TAGGCAATGGTTGAAAAGCTGTGTGATCAAGGGAACAAGACAATCTTTTCCTTGTTTGATCATCTCTATTGTGATGCATTCGTGCCCAGTTGCCAGTTTTCATCGAATCTACTGCCATAGATACTTCGTCTTGCATAAATGGCGGGCAGATTTCCCGTGAATAGTGTGGAGTGTATGGTATATCAACGGCTCGCGCGTATATGTCTTCGAAATAAGAAGCAATCCTTTCGCTGACCTCTGACTTTGTGCTATAGATCTTCCCATTTTCGTCCCTTATTCGAAAAAGCCTGTGATACCTATATGATATCTCTCCCTTGACTTTTTTCAGGCTACGTGAAGATCGTTTGAAGCTTTCGACACCGTTGAATTGAATGGACTCTGGAATGCTCTTGAAGAGCAAGGAATCCACTGGCAACTTATAGCACTATTTCGTCAAATATAAACAAGTTCACGATCAACCATAAAGGTCGGTGAAACTTCGATTCCTATAAAGGTTCAAAGAGGAGTGCGACAGGGTGATCCACTTTCACCTAAGCTGTTTAAAGCTATACTTGAACATGTTTTTCGAAAAATCAGCTGGAACAGCTACGGATATTCCATAAATGGCAATCAGCTCACAAATCTACGCTTTGCCGATGACATTGTCCTAATTGCAAAATCAGAAGATGAACTACGGGCGATGATAAACGTTTTAGATATACACTCACGCAGAAACGGTTTGAAGATCAATCCTATAAAAACCAAAGTACTCGCTCATACACCTGTTACAATCAATCTTGGAGGAACCAGGATCGAACAAGTGGAGTCATATATCTACCTTGGACAAACCATTTCACTTTTCCGTAATTGTAGCAAGGAGATTTCACGGCGTATACAGGCTGGATGGCAGATTTTCTACCAATACAGAGAGTTCCTTATCTCGAAGACAGTGTTGATGAAGTGGAAGCGGAAACTGTTTAATTCGTGTATTCTTCCCGCGATACTTTATGGAGCGAAAACATGGACACTAACGAAGAAGATGGAGAAACAACTCGGTGCAGCCGGAAGACGTATAGAACGGAGAATGGTCGGCAGTCGCTTAATAGACAAGACGAACTCATGGTTGCGTGGCGTCACAAAAGTGAATGATTTAGTAATATGCGCGAAGAAGAGAAAATGGATCTAAGCTTGGAAAGTCGCTAACAGTAATGAGACGAAATGGTCAAGAGAGCTACTCGAATGGAGACCGCCACATAAACGTCCAATAAGACGACCGAAGATGAGATGGAGAGACGAATTTCAGAAGAA